CCCTAGAAAAACCTCAGTCTTTGATCCCATATGCCCTTTGCCAGTGACTAAAAATTCAAAAGTGCCAATTTTCAGGTAATATAAACACCATTGGCTGACTGACCATTGGTTTGTCTTCTGGCATTGTAGATCCAACTCGGCTAAATCCCCAGCTGTTTTTAATTTTTTAATTTAAAAACATTATTTTTGAAATTTTTAAATTTTGAGAGAAGATCTCACTTGTTACTAAGTTGCCCAAAATAGGCTCAAAGTTGCGCTCCTCCTGCCTCAGCCTCCCAGAGTACTGGGATCACAGGTCTTGCCACCACGCCTGGGCGAGTACTATCTTGGACTGCCACCCACTATCTCATCCCTCAGTGTCCCTCCACCCGCTGCAGCCTGCACATAACCCCAAGCAGCCCGGAGAAGACTCTGTGGCCAACTCACTTTTTCATGAGGAAGCGATTGATGGTTTTCTGCTTCCTCATCACCTGGACAATTTTCCGGTTCAGGTAGACAAAGAGGGCTCCCCCGAAGCCACTAGCGATCCTGGAGAGGGAAGCAGCAGGAGGGTAGAAGGGGGTCTTCCCACGGGGACTTCCTCACTGTCCCGCCGCCCCATGCCTGCCCGTAGCTCCTCACCCGATGACGGCGAAGGCCGGAAGCTCCTGAAGGTCGAAGGGGAAGTCCAGCCGGAACCGGGTTTTGAAAAGGGCAGTGATGGTTTCTGAGGGGAAGAGCAGCAGGGAGTGGGGTCTAGCTCCCTGGGTCCCCCACCTGGCCCATTTCCAGCGCCCTCACCCCCAGGCGCCTCACCTTCGTCCCGGTTCCAGACCGCCAGGACCCGGAAGATGAAGGCACTGAAGGTGGCCGCGAAGAAGCCCCGCCAGTAGTTCCGCACAGCGAAGAAGGTGGAGGTGACCTCGATGCTGAACAGGACGCCTGTGAGGACCGACGCAGAGCACCATGCCACTTAGACCCGGAGGCCCAGGGCAGGCCCAGGGCGGGTGGGCGCTGTGCCTGCTGAGAACCCCACCTACCTCCGATGGGCGCCGCGAAGCAGCAGCCCACTCCCACGGCGCAGGCAGCAGCCAGCATCTCTGTGTTCCGGGATTCGTTCTGGCAAAGAACAGCGGTGGCAAAGGGTGATGGCTTGGGTTCAGCAGCCCAGGCTTCCCCTCCCCTCCTCCAGGGTTCCCCTTACCTCATAGATCCCCCCAAACAGGGAGAGGAACTTGCTCAGGAGGGAGGCACACATGCTTGCGATATGCACGAAAGGGCCCTGAGGGGTGGGGCCGCCGGTGAGAGGGGCAGGGCTGGCCTTGACCTTGGCCTGGCCTCTTCCCCCTGTTGGGAGGGACCCCTCCAGCCCCCCACCTGCAGTTACCTCTTTGCCCAGGGGCATTCCGCTGCCCAGGGCACAGGTCAGCCCGATGACCTTAGCCACAAAGGTCTTGAGGGTGAGGTATTCTTTCAGCACCACTCCCCGCAAGATGGTCTTCATCTCGGGGATGCCGGACCCTGGCGGGGCACGGCCAGGAGAGTCATGGGATGGACTCAGTTCCGGAGGCCGAACCTCTGCCCTCCCAGTGTTCCTCTCATACCCACAGCCTGAGGGGCTAGGATCTGTGTGAATCCGGCTGAGAAAGTGATAAGGACGACAGGGTAGGTGACCCAGGCCAGGTACTGGAGTAAGATGCTGGTGTTCAAGCCCTGAGACATCCACTGCTGAGCTGCGGGAAGAGGACGTGCTGCTGGGCCCTCAACATGCCGAGCGGCTACAGAGAAGACTGCCCAGAGCCAGGCACAGATGGAAGGGAAGGGGCCCTGGAGGGCACTCACGGGGGCAATGCCCGCTGTGGGGCAGAGCGTGGGCAGAAGAGGGGAGGCAAGAAGTTGTGGCCTTTGGGAGTGGCCGTGATTTCATGTGAAGATGGGCAGTCAGACTGGCCAGGCAAAGGGGTCAGCGGCCAAGTAGCCAAGACGCTGCCATGACTGAGGCACAGAGGAAGCCAGCTGGTTGTCCCCACCCCTCCCAGGACAGCGCCAGCCCTCACCCTGCAGACAGACAGCGATGGCATAGTCCATGGCCCAGCTGACCAACGCCATGAGGAGCCCCAGCAGGACCAGGAAGATCCAGTCTTCGCCAACTCTGGACACTAGGAATTTGTGGCAGCGCACAGAACAGACTGGGAGCAGGGAAGGTCAATGGGGAGGCTGGCACCCAAGGCTCCTCCTACCCAGGCCACCGCTCCCCAGCACAGCACAGGCAGGTTCCCTTTCCCAGCCCAGGGCTCACTGTGGCACGGGGCACAACGACTCTGTCCATATTCCAAGAGCTCTGGGGGTGCCCGAGGAGAAGGGGGCCCCTTCCAGGGCTCAGGACCTCCCAGGCGAATGCGGGCAGCTTCCTCTTTGGCAAAGGCCCCGAGTTCCTGAGTATAGCGGCCATACATCTGGAGCAAGGGGGAAGAGGGGTCATTAGTGTGTGTAAGTGGGGGGCTGAGCGTGGGGATGTGGGGGGCTCCCTGGGCCTTGACTCTCCATCTCCCACCCCCAACCTGTATTCCCCCTCTGGAACCCACAGTTCTGGCTGTGGCTCCCAGTGTGGGAACAATGCACATTGCAGACTGTGGGGGCTGTGCTGGCCAGAGTGATAGGGACAGCCAAGGTACCAGGACACAGCTCTGGGGGTGGCAGAATAATCGGTCCTCTTCTCCCAGGCCTGAGGGGGGTGGTGGGCACTGAGGAAGGACGGAAGGGAAAACCCCAGAGGAGGGAAAAGATGGGAAAACCTAAGCCGCAGTCTGAAAGTGGGAGGCGGAAAGGTCAAAGAATAAATAAGGGATGGTCAAGGGCACACAGGCACAATGAGAGCCTGGCGGAGCCGAGGGCAGCTGAGTTGGGCCTGGGCAGGCACAGCCCCAATCCTTATCACGTTCTTGCTGGGCCTCTGGCCTGTGACCAACTCAGCTGCACCCTCCCACCTACCTTAATCCCCTTGTCCCCATCTCCCCCACCCATGCCTGCCAGTCATCTGGGAGTGGGACAGTGGCCCTCACTTTGGAGCTGCCCTGAGTCCAGGGGTAAACTGGGGGACATCACAGGCTGCGGATGGCAAGGTTGTGACGGATGCTGGGGTGACAGGACAGTCGGAGCTGTGGCCAGACCTGCCAAGCTGGGTGTGTTGGGGGTTGGGGAGGAGTAGATTGCGGCTGCCACCAGCAGAGCTTCAGGATACAAAGGGCTCCTGTTGGGCTGGGGTGGGGGGGTACAGACACACACAGCGTGAGTGAGATAGGGAGAGAAGCAGAGAGGAGAGGGAGAAAAAGGAGAGAGAGGGGAAGCTGCAGGGAGGAGGAAGAGACAGTATACAGACCCAGTATAGGACGGAGGCGGCAGAAAGACAAAGGGGGGGAGCGACGAGCCCAGAGGGCCTGACCCCAGAGCTCGTCGTCGGGCAGTCGGGGAAGGAGATGGAGACTGCCACCTCTCCCAATCGCCCTGCCTCTCCAGTCACACTTTCCCAGGTCCTCTTCTGGAGAGGTTCCCTCCCTGCCACCTTCCTGGGCAAATTCCAGCCAAGCTGATAAAAAGGAGTCACAGGGCCCATTGCTTTTCCTAGGCCTCGGGTCCCCCACCCCAGGGACAAAAGGAGGATCAAACGGCTTCTCAAATCTTAAGTCACAGGGTGGCCATGAGTCAGCTCAGAGCCGAGGACCCCTGCTTTTAATGAGGTCAAGGGACGACCTTGGGTGGGTGGGAGCTGCATACCCAGAGCCAGCGTGGACAAAGGTCCCAATTCCCACACCCATTTCTGCTCCTGTTGCCCACGATGATGGCCGTGTTTGCCCAGAGGGTTAACTGAGGCAGAGGCGGGGGCTGGCTGTGAGTCTGATCACTGTACACGCTCCCGAGTGTGTGCCCGGGACAAGCTATGTACACGGCAGGGACACAGGGAATGTCTTGGGTGGTGGGGACAGAGGAGTGTGGAAAGTTCATGGGTGTGAATGGTGCTGGGGAAGGGGACTTGTGCTCAGGTGGTGAGAGGAGAAGCAAACAAAACGTGAGTGCAGGGAAGGGCCGGGAGAACGAGCACCCGGTGTCTCTGTCCTCCGCAGGCCCCCAGCTTCAGCTAGAAACCAGCCAACAGCTTTTCGACCCTTTGGCTCTGCAGCCTGTCAGACTCCCGAGCCTCAGCGGCCCCAGCTCGGCCCGCAGACGCGGGGATCCGGGAGGCCCCCAGGGCTCGCGCTTT